TTTTTTTTTTTTTTTTGAGAAGGGTGTAATTCTAGGGTTCTGTGCCTAAAATGTGCTTGTTCAGATGCTGAGTCCTCTTTATAGCACATGCACACATGCCTGCAGTCTCTCCTAAGGGATAGAGGTACATGATAGGTGAAAGGCTTATCAGCATGGAAAGGTTGGCTTGGATCTTGTTATCTGAGTTTCTGGGTACTTTTATCAAATGTGCATGTGATTTCTCTTCACTTCCCAGGTGGAGTGGCAATGCAAGGCTCGCCATCAGCAATGAGATGACCTACTTTTCCTTGGATGACTGGAGGTGTGCAGGAGTCCCGGAACACGTGTTCCTGGGTGTGCATGATACCCATGGATCGCTTAGGAAGGTAAGCATTCCTCTGTTCCAAATTCTATCATTTGCTTGAGGGTTTCTAGACCTGGTAGAGGCAGCCTGTGCACATGTCCCCAGTGTTATGCTGGGCTTTGCTCTATAAGTAGATTGTGGTTTGGACATGATTAATTCAAGCCTCTGGAGAAGCCTGAAGTAATTGTTCACTAGGTGAGTCTCATCCAGCCTCACCAAAATGTCCTGCATCCCAGAATGTGCTTGAATTGATGATGACGTCCTCAAAAAAAGCATTCCTTGGAAGCTGAACAAAATGAGTGAGAACTCATACTGTCATTTTCATCAGATCTGAGGTCCAGCATGTTCATTGCCCAGGGAAAGTAAGAGTGAGGGACATCTTCCTCTTGGTCACACTCTTGCAAGCACCACCCAGGGTGTCAGTATCAGAGAGCCTCCTGGCTCACTATCAATACTTTAATGTTGTTAGTTGGGTGTTTATGATCAATCATTTTTGGGTGAGTGGTTGGTCGTCTTTTACCCGTAAGTATGTATTCTATTCCTAATAGTGGTGTAGTGTGGGTGTTCTAGAGGCCCATCAAGACCATTATGTGGATATGTCCTGGATTGATTCTTGCTTCAGATACATCTCTTGGGGTGCTGGGTATGGACCCGAGGAGGAGATGCTCCCAAGGGTTCCTCATTAGAGCCCCTAGTCCTGCAAGTTGTGAACCTGTTCTAGTGTTTTAAGTGTTTCACTGCCCCATGCCTGCTACCCAGCCTTCTCTGATTTGAGTGTCTTGGCCACCACTTTCTTTGTCCTTTTATTTCGTGGTAGGAAACTTCCCAGGTCAAAGTCCTTCTCAGGAGGGTGCTATTTTCTTAGCATGGGTGTGACCCATTTTCTTCAGAGGGATTGAGATTTACCATCTCGTGCCTGCCTGTGGGTATGTCAGAGACTGTGGGCGATCAGCGCTAAGATCGCCAGCACACAATTGTGAAGAGATTTCTATTTTGGAGGTATATCATGTGTCTTGTATCATTCTTCTTCATGTCTTTGTGAATTACATATTGGAACTCTGTGACGTCATGGGCATAGTTTCTGTGTTGAAGGAGACGTCATACCTTGGGGTTGCCATATGCAATATTGAAATCTTTATGACTGTGCTCCCTGCTGGTCATCACTTCCCAGGGTGGTCCAGGATTTAAGGCTCCTTTTGGGGGCACTTGACCAGCCAGAATGAGGTTGCTACTTTTGAATAGATACTGTTAATATTTGAACTTTTTTTGAAAACGGAATTTTTCTGAAGGGGAAAATGCCTGGTCTGTGGATGTCAACCACAGTAGTTTCTATTGGGTTTTCTTTCTGGGTCATGGTGGTTGAAGACCATGAATACTTCTCTGGTTCCATTTTTTGTCAGCACATTTGGCTCAGTTTGTATGAACAGGTGCCTGGCCTGAAGTCACTGGACCCTTTAGATTAACTCAGGGGTGTGCTGTGTGTACCTAGTGTGATACTAGTACCAGGCTTTATGTCGTTGGTTTCATGTTTTTGGTGGTTGCTGTGTTTCCATCAAGTGCAGTTCACCTGTGACAGTTTACTGGGACACAGTGTTCAAGGTGACTTCACATACAGTCATTAAGAGCATGTACTAAGAATCAGTGTGTTTTCTTTTGTTCAGAAGCAGTCCTCAGCCTGTGTTAGGTGCCCCAGTAGGTAAAAAGGTTTCCCTTTTTTTATGCTTGTTGAAGAGATGGACTTCCTTCAATGGCTAGCAATTGGTGGTAGGCTTGGCATTCAGATGAGGAGACCTCTGCCCATGAACACATGCCACATATTTACAGACTGACCTCCATGCATCGTATCACATGTCTGCAGTCATACTTGAGGGAGAGAAGTAGGTGATAATCAGATGCAGGGACTAACACAACAGAGAGGATCACATGGATTAATTACCTGAGGACCTGGGTACATTACTCAAACATACCTACAATTTCTGCCCACTTCTCAGGTAGAGCTGCATTGCAAGGTTCTTCATCAGCCAAGAAAAGAAGACATTTCTCTGCCTGGATGACCTGAGATTCATGGGAGTCCAATAGGAAGTGTGGCCCTGAGTGTGCACCATGCCTCAGGATCACTCAGGAAGGTAAGTGTTGCTCTGCTCCAAGTTTTTCCATCACTTACCAAATTTTTAAAAACTGCTAGAGGCGGCTTGTTTGGGTGTTCCGAATAGCACATGGGGTTCCTCCATGAGTGGACTGTTTTATGCTCTGTGGTTGGATCTAGATCCTGCAGGCCACTGGAGGACTCTGAGGTCATTGTTTCACCCAATGGGTGATAAAATCAGTCTTGCTAGATTTTTCAGAATGTGCTTGGATCAATGATGACTCCCATATATAAGCATTCCTTGGAAAAGCTGAACAAAATGAGTGAGAACTCCAACCGTCGTTCTCATCGGAAACTGAGGTCTAGCACATTTAGTGCCCCAGGGACAGTAGGAGTGAGAGACAGCTTCCTCTTGGTCACATTCATGCAAGCACCACCCAGGGCATCAGCATTTCAGCGCTTTCCATCTGTGTATTCAATGACTTCGCTTCTGTTCTTGGGTGTCCACAAATCAAAGGTTTTGGCTTGAATGCCTATTCATTGTCGGCATGCTGGCCATCTAGCAATTCAGTCCTAGGAGTTGGAGATGTGGCATTGGCTTAGGCTCAATGAGCTGATGGCATGGGTCTTTGTTGGCCAGGTTCCTGCTACAGTGGTAGCCCCTGCAGCTCTGGCTTGGTCACCAAAGAACAAAACTTGTATGGCTTCTGATTAAGAGCTCATTACCCAAGAGGCAGTGATACCTGTCCTTGCCCTTTAACTTGTGGGGAATTTTGATTCCCGAGGTGTTGGCCAAATAATGTATGTGACCCTTGGTGCTGCAATCAGAAGTGTCTATTTGTAACATACCCAGGGTGCAGCCATGGCAGCCATCCATGGACTGTGCTGTGTTCAAGCTTGACAGGAGCACACTGTGGTGGATGATGGCCTGGAAAGGAAGGGTAGACAACCGAAAGGACAGGGTAGAATGGGATTCCAATTGTTTCCTTGCAATGTACTATCTTAATTTGATCCAAGAGCAGTGATTGGCTCTATGGGATTTCTTTAGGCCCTGATGGTGCTGACAATTGGTACCTACTCAGGAAGGTTCAGGCCCTTATACATGGTGCTGTGGTGGCTGCAGGTTGTTCACTTGGTATCTCCATTTTAGACAGTGGTGCTCAAAGACCTGTCTTTAGTGCATTGAGGTGCCCCATGGCTCATTACAGCAGGCCAGCTGGATCGCTGTGGTCACATTGCTTAGGGTACATTCCCTTTGACCTTTGTCTTGATAAGGCCCAGCAGTGTTAAGGTCAAAGTATATCTTCAGGGTGGTTTGATTTTCCCAGCACAGTGTCTTATGTCTTTGTCTGGTGGGTTAGATTTTTTTGTGTGGATACCTGTGCACATAGCAGATATCATGAGTACTGGGACTGCCAGGTGGTCCCTTGGAAGTTGCACATCTGTTAAGGTGACACATACATATATTTTCAGTTCTTCTTCCTGTATTCCTGAATGGGCCATTTGAGCTTTGTGAGGTCATTTCTCGTATTACCTGCCAAGGGTGTGGTCACTTGTTGAATCTACCTTGTAGACTCGGGCAAAATACAAATCTCTCGTGGCTGTGCCCGATACTGCTCCATGTTGGGTGCAGCAATGGAGGCTACTTCTTCAGAATCTTCACCTGCAGGCATGACATGCTCCTTCAGTCAAGGCAGCCAAGTGTTGGAACGTTTCTATGGAGGTCAGGGCCTTGAATCTTCCTGGATGAGGAAATTCCCGGTCCCTGGAAGGGAATGTGCCCTAGTTTCAGTCCAGTTCTACCCTGGGTCATGGTGGCTGAAGAGGAGCCATCCCTCTCTGATTAGCTGCTGGACCGTGAGGACACTTCAGCTTAGTTAATTCAAAGATTCACCTGGCCTGAACTGATTTGCCCATTAAGATTAAGACAGGCTACTTCTCCAAGAGTGCCATTGGTGCCGCTGGGTGGCTTTGATGTTCATGCTGTCGCTGGTTTCTTCAAGCGTGATTTATGTGTGACACAGCAGACAAACAGTATCCATGTTGACATTGGATCCACAGACAGGAAGAGAGTATACATAGAATGGGTTGATTTGCTAGGAAGGAGTGGCTGTGAAAGAGGGAGTCCGTTAACTGTTGTTTAAGCCTCTTGATGTCACAGTTTAATCATATCCTTTGAAGGCCCTGCATTCCTATGTTGGGAATCAGGGTGTGTTTTTAGTGTCTGGGCCCAAGATGTGCCTGTTCAGGTGCTGAGTCCCCTGCCCAGGACCACGTTCATGTAAAGCAGCACACCTATCTACCCTCATGTATCACGCACACCTGCAGTCATGCCTAAGGGATAGAGGTACATGATAGGCAGGTGCCAGGCTTAACCAGAGAAAAGGTTCACATGGATATTATTACCTGAGAACCTGGGTATATTTCTCAAACATGCATGTGATTTCTTTACACCTCCCAGATGGAGTGGCTGTGCAAGGCTCCCCATCAACCATGAAGAGCTGACCTTCCTTTCCTTTGATGACCAGAGGTGTCGGGGAGCCCTGGAAGACGTGTGTCCCTGGGTGCACACCATGCCTGTGGATTGCTCAGCAAGGTAAGCATTCTTGTACCCTAAGTTCTTCCATTTGGTTGAGGATTTCACTGGCCTGCTAAGAGGCAGCCTGTCCACATGTCCCCAGTGTTTTATGCTGGGTTTTGCTCTATGAGTGGATTGACTATTCCTCTTGCCAAGTGGTTTGGATCCAGGTAATCCAAGCTTCTGGAGAGCTTTGAGGTCATTGGATCTCTAGATGAACTGCCCCCTGCCTCAGTAAAATCTCCTCCATCCCATAATGTGCTCAGATCAACGATGACTCCCTCCAATGTACATTCCTTGGAAAAGCTAAACAAAATGAGAACTCCAACTGCCATTCTCATCAGATCTGAGGTCCAGCATGCTCAGTTCTCCAGGAAGGTAGTGAGAGGGACAGCTTCCCGTTGGTCACATTCATGCCAGCCCCACCTAGGACGTCAGTATCAAAGAGCCACTTGAATTTCTCTTTATATTTTCATTGCATTAGTTACTCCTGGGGAAGGGTTTGAATGGATATTATTACCTGAAACTGTGTTTCAGAAATGTGCATGTGATTTCTCTACACGTTCCAGGTGGAGTGGCCATGCAAGGTTTTCCATCAGCCATGAAAAATCAACCTTCCTTTCCTTTGATGACTGGAGGTGTGTGGGAGGCCTGTTAGACGTGTGTCCCTGGGTGTGCACCCTGCCTGTGGATGGCTGAAGAAGGTAAGCATTCTTCTCCTCCAAGCTCTAACATTTGGTTGAGGATGTCATAGGCCTGATGCAGACAGACTTCCCATGTGTCCCCAGTGTTGTCCTGGGCTTTGATCTAGAGTGGAGTGACTGTTCCTCTTACCCAGTTTTTTGTATATAGTTAATGTAAACAACTGGAGAACTTTGAGGTCATTGGCTCACTAGATGAGCCTCCACCCTGCCAGGCCAAAATATTCTGCTTCCCTGAATGTGCTTGGATCAATGATGACTCCTTCCAATAAGCATTCCTTGGAAAAGCTGAACAAAATGAGTGAGAACTTCAACCGCCGTCGTTCTCATCGGATCTGAGGTCCAGCACATTTAGTCCCCCAGGAAGGTAGAGTGAGGGACAGTTTCCTCTTGGTCACACTCATGCGAGCACCACCAAGGGTGTGAGCACAGCTGCATACCTGCCTACCCTTGTGGTATCACACACACCTGCAGTCACTCCTAATGGGTAGAGATACAAGGGACAGTTAGGTGCAAGGCTACCTGGGGGGGAAGGGTGGTATGGATCTTGTTGCCTGGTAAACTGGGTACATTTCTTAAATGTGCATGTGATTTCCCTACACTTCCCAGGTGGAGTGGCCGTGCAAGGCTCGCCATCCCCCATGAAGATGACCTTCCTTTCCTTTGATGACTGGAGGTGTGTGGGAGGCCTGTTAGACATGTGTCCCTGGGTGTGCACCCTGCCTGTGGATGGCTCAAGAAGGTAAGCTTTCCTCTGCCCCAAGTTCTAACATTTGGTTGAGGATGTCACAGGCTGATGCAGACAGCCTTTCCACATGTCCCCAGTGTTGTCCTGGGCTTTGATCTAGAGTGGAGTGACTGTTCCTCTTACCCAGTTTTTTGTATATAGTTAATGTAAACAACTGGAGAACTTTGAGGTCATTGGCTCACTAGATGAGCCTCCACCCTGCCAGGCCAAAATATTCTGCTTCCCTGAATGTGCTTGGATCAATGATGACTCCTTCCAATAAGCATTCCTTGGAAAAGCTGAACAAAATGAGTGAGAACTTCAACCGCCGTCGTTCTCATCGGATCTGAGGTCCAGCACATTTAGTCCCCCAGGAAGGTAGAGTGAGGGACAGTTTCCTCTTGGTCACACTCATGCGAGCACCACCAAGGGTGTGAGCACAGCTGCATACCTGCCTACCCTTGTGGTATCACACACACCTGCAGTCACTCCTAATGGGTAGAGATACAAGGGACAGTTAGGTGCAAGGCTACCTGGGGGGGAAGGGTGGTATGGATCTTGTTGCCTGGTAAACTGGGTACATTTCTTAAATGTGCATGTGATTTCCCTACACTTCCCAGGTGGAGTGGCCGTGCAAGGCTCGCCATCCCCCATGAAGATGACCTTCCTTTCCTTTGATGACTGGAGGTGTGTGGGAGGCCTGTTAGACATGTGTCCCTGGGTGTGCACCCTGCCTGTGGATGGCTCAAGAAGGTAAGCTTTCCTCTGCCCCAAGTTCTAACATTTGGTTGAGGATGTCACAGGCTGATGCAGACAGCCTTTCCACATGTCCCCAGTGTTGTCCTGGGCTTTGATCTAGAGTGGAGTGACTGTTCCTCTTACCCAGTTTTTTGTATATAGTTAATGTAAACAACTGGAGAACTTTGAGGTCATTGGCTCACTAGATGAGCCTCCACCCTGCCAGGCCAAAATATCCTGCTTCCCTGAATGTGCTTGGATCAATGATGACTCCTTCCAATAAGCATTCCTTGGAAAAGCTGAACAAAATGAGTGAGAACTCCAACCGCCGTCGTTCTCATCGGATCTGAGGTCCAGCACATTCATTTTTCCAGGGACTGTAGGAGTGAGGGGACAGATTCCTCTTGGTCACACTCATGCAAGCACTACAAAGTGTGTGAGCACTGCTGCACACCAGCCTGCCCTCATGGTATCACACTCCTGCAGTCACTCCTGTGTGATAATGGTCCATGCAGATAGGAGGCATACCTGGGGGAAAGGTTGGCAAGGATATTGTTACCTGACAACCTGGGTACATTTCTCAAATATGCATGTGATTTCTTTACACTTCCCAGGTTGAGTGGCCATGTAAGTCTCGCTGTCAGCAAGGAAGAGACGACTTACCTTTCCTTTGATGATGGGATGTGTTTGGAAGTCCTGGTGGAAGTGTTTCCCTGGCTGTGCACCATGCCTGTGGATCTCTCAGGTAGGTAGGCATTCCTCTGTTTTAAATTCTACCATGTGCTTGAGGAATTCTAGGCCTGCTAGAGGCAGCCTGTCCACCTGTCCCCAGTGTTATGCTGGGCTTTGCTCTATGTGTGGATTGACTTCCTCTTGCCCAGTGGTTTGGATAATCCAAGCTACTGCAGAACTTCGAGGTCATTGGCTCACTAGATGAGCCTCCCCCGTGCCTGTCCAAAATGTCCTCCATTTCATAACGTGCTCGGATCAATGATGACACCTCCCTCAAAAAGCATTCCTTGGAAAAGCTGAACAAAATGAGTGAGAACTCCAACCGCCGTCGTTCTCATCGGATCTGAGGTCCAGCACGTTTAGTTTCCCAGGGCCTGTAGGAGTGAGGGACAGCTTCCCTTTGGTCGCACTCGTGCAAGCTCCTCCCAGTGCTTCAGTTTCAGAGACCCCCCTGAATGACTGTCACTATTCTCATTGCATTAGTTGGGCTTTAATGATGGATGGTGTTTGGGTGAATTGCCAGTCATTTTCTTTTATCAACTACCGTGTATTCTAATCCTAACAGTTGTCTCGTGTGGCTGTGGCACAGGCCCATTGAGACCATGGTGTAGATGTGTCTCGTTGAGGCTCTTGCTCCAGTGGTTGCCTTGGTGTCCTTTGTGTGGAGCTAAGAGCAGACGCCTCTGTGGTTTCAGTTTGAGCCCTATCCTGGCAAGTTGTCAACCTGTTCTTGCCTTTTGTAACGGTCAGATAATTCAGGCCATCATGGATTTGGGACAGCAACAGAGGAACGATTAGATCGTGGTGCTGCAGTTGACAGGTCCTCTATTTCTGCTACTCACCCAATTGAAATTCAAGGTGTGAATTCACAGGACAACATTGCACTGTGCTGTGAACTGAGCTATGAAGTGAAGTTGCTGGGGTGGCTGATGGCCATTCCAGAGATCTTGAAGAGGACAAGTCATACTGTGGTTCCAGTGGCTTCCATGGAATGGACTGCCTGTTCTGTTGAAACTGAGGTGGTCATCATGGTATTTCAGGGATCCTCTCAGGGCCTTGAAGGAGCATACATTGGGTGCCCACCAGGGGAGTGGTCGCTGTTCTTGAGTACGGGACTCTGGTTTCTGACTTTGGTTCACTTACGGTTTCCATTCCAGAGTAGCGGTGTCAGTGGTTTTCCTCCTAGTCCATTTGATGGTGTTCAGTGGCAAATTCCTTCCCACCATCATGCTTTAATTGAGTGGGTTGGCCAATATTTCTTTTGTCCTTTTGCCCCTAAGTTGGGCGCTTCCCAAGTCAAAATGCTACCTGGCAGGTCGTTATTTTCTTGGCACCAGTGTCTCCCATTTTGTCCAGAGGGATTGATTTTTACCAGTGGAAGCCTGTGGGCATGGCCAAGACTGTGGACAGTAAGATCCCAGGCCCACTGCTGTGGACATGTTGCTAGCCTGGAAAATGTTCAAGTGCTATTGTTCAGGAGATGCATTTTTTAAAAGAATTTCCTCCCTTGTACTCGTGGATGAAGCGCTGGAGCTCTGAGGTCATTGGTGGTGCTCCATGCTGATAAGAGGTCACACCTGGAATCCCATGGGGTTGACTTATGCAATGTCTTTGGTGGAGAATGTGTTCTAGTTTCAGATGGATTTTTGTTCTGATCATGGTGGTTGAAGACCACAGATACCCCACAGGATTGCTATTGTTCCGGTGCGGGCATTGGTTTTAGTGACCATGAACAGGTGCCCTGTAGCTGCTGTGCTAATGGTGTGAGGCTTTGTGTCAGTGGTTTTGCTGTTTCAGTGGTCGTTGTGTTTCCAGCATGAGGTTCACTTGTGAAAGTTTTCAGGACCAAGTGTCTAAATGTATTTCATAGTCCAGTTGTTAAGAGCATGTAAGAATTAATGAATTAATGTACTTTTTGTGTACAGAAGGAGTGACCGTGATAGAAGGTGTCACAGGCCTAATTAACTGAGCAGTCCCATGTGGTCAAACTTTACATTTTTTAAAAAAGCAATAGGTCTTCCTTTGAATTGGAGGCAGCAAGTATGTCCAGAGGCCTTTGCAGGGGGCTGGCCTGTTCAGATGAGGAGCCTCTGGCCATGAACATGTGCAACATATTTGTAGGCTGACCTACACACATGATAGTACACCTGCCTTCAGTCATACCTCAGGGACAGAAGTAGGTGACAATCAGATGCAAGGCCCACTAAGGGAGAGAGGATGACATGGGTCCTGGTACTTGAGAACCTGGGTAGATTTCTCAAACACGTGTGATTTCTGTCTACTGCGCAGGTGGAGTTGCATCGCAAGGTTCTTCTTAGGCAGAGAAAAGACGACCTTTCTCTCCTTGGAACACTGGATGTTCACGGAGTCCCAGCGGATGTTCGGGTGTATGAGCCTGGGGATCACGGAGAAAGGTGAGCATCCTTGTGCTCCAAGTGCAGCCATCTGCTTTCATGTTTCTTAGAGCTGCTAGAGGTGGCTTGTTTGGGTGGCCTCAGTGTCATGAGGGGTTCCTGTCCAAAAGTGGACTGAGTGTTCCTCTTGCTCAGTGGTGTGTGTCTGGATGCCCCAGGCTGCTAGAGGACTCTGTGGTCATTAACTTGCCCAAATGAGCTGCCCAGCCAGACTTCTAAATTTTGCAGTGTTCCAGAATGTGCTCGGATCAATGATGACTCCCTCAAATAAGCATTCCTTGGAAATCTGAACAAAATGAGTGAGAACTCCAACCGTCGTTCTCATCGGAAACTGAGGTCCAGCACATTTAGTACCCCAGGGATGGTAGGACTGAGGGACAGCTTCCCCTTGGTCACACTCATGCAAGCACCGCCCAGGGCGTCAGCAATTGAGCACCTTCCATCTAGGAGTCATTCACTTCACACTATGTTTGAGGGTCCATGAGTCACGGGTTCTGGTTTGGAGTGTCCAGTCTGTGTAGTCATGGTGTGATGGCCATTTAGCATTTCAGTCCTGAGAGTCCAAGAGTGTGTCGTTGGCCAAGGCCCAGTGAGCTCATGGCGTCGATATGTGTTGGCCAGTTTCCTGCTGCAGTGGTAGCCCCTACAGCTCTGGCTTGGGCAGCAGAGAACAAAACTTGTGTGGCTTCTTATTAGAGCCCATCACCCAGCACGTAGTGATAGCTGTTCTTGCCTTTTGACTTGGAGAGAAATTGTGAGTTCCCCAAAGTGTTGGTGGTGATTTGCAGATGATTAAGTTATGGTGCAGTGATGGACGGAAGCTTCTGTTGTTGTTTTTTTTAATTTTAAATGTCTTTATTGATTTCAGAGAAAGGAAGGGAGAGGGGGAGAGAAACATCAATGGTGAGAGAGTCATTAATCGGCTGCCTCCTGCACGCCCCCTACTGGGGATCGAGCCCTCAACCCGGGCATGTGTCCTGACCGGGACTCGAACCGCGATCTCCTGGATTCTAGGTCGATGCTCAACCACTGAGCCATGCTGGCCGGACAGGCAGGAAGCTCCTATTTGTAACATAGTCACCTAAGGTACACACCTAGCAGCAAACCATCAGCTGTGCTGTGTTCCAAGCACTGATGTGAAGACACTGGTGGCTTATGGCCTGGACAGGAAGGAAGAGTCACTGAGCGAACATTCGGAGTTTGAGTCCCTGGGCTTTCACATCATAGTGTCTCTGTTTCATACAGTGGTGGTCGTTTGCGTGCCAGGGGTTTCTCTTGACACTGATGGGACTGTCACTTGTTGCCATTCAGGGTAGGTGTCAGGGAGCTTGCATATGACACTGCGGTGGATGAAGGATGTT